ATAGTTTGCCAGTTTCGTGGCTTGCTCACACGGATAGTTTGATTTATCTCTTGGTTGCGGTTGTTTGTCTCAGCATGGCAATTTAGTATTAAAGGAAGTTACTTGATTACACAAGAAAGAATCTGATTCATCTATATAACATCAGTATATTCTTCTCTTTAGGAAAATAACAAAGAGAGTGCAGTTAAGGACCCTATATAGAAAAAGAAAGGTGAGAGCATGAGTTTCTATTATATATGACGTTAATACTTGGAGTCAAAGCAGGTATTTATCCTTTGGGGCGCAGCTGCGTGCGTTCTATCTATAAAGTTCTTGAATCTTGAATCTTCTCTCCTTTCTCGTCCTTTCATAAATAAATATTGTAATATATATGAAACTCTTAAAAAAGAAAGCAACATTGTCTGCAGTTTATTTTTAAATGTATACATTTCAATTACCCTCATTATTTAAAGCAGTTTATGATATCTTTCTCCTCTAACTGTCAAGTGAGACACTTAAAGCCATTTCTTCTGTCCCTGCAGTCTCTAATGTAATAGCAAAGAAAGATTGATGTTTAAAGCTTTGAAGCTGTTTAAAGTTAAATTTTAGTGAAATAAAGGTCAGATTAACATCAGCGAACACTTGTTTGTTCATTTTCCCTACATAAATCCTATTACTTACTTTCACTCCATATTTTTCCCCTGGTCGTCCATGGCCCCTATACAGTTTGAGAACCAGTGTTATAGATTACTTGTCCCATAATAACAACTTTATAACTTTATTAATTTATTAACAAATTAATGCTATAACTGACATTAATACTTTACTATTTTTCTACAATATATGAATGAATGATCCATTCTCATGTTCTGCTTGGGGTGAGATGGTAAAGGTGTGTTATTCTTAACAATAAAGAATTTCTAAATAGTCCAAGATTAGATTTCAAAGCACTTGTTTTTTTATGCTTTGCTGTGCTTTGGTTTTATTACAGTGCCAAGAACAATGTTGAAAGCAGACTATTCTAAAGCCATGCTAGGAATGCTGCTTTGAGTTTAAGTTAATGACAATGACAATGCTACCATGCTAATTAATTATGGTTACCATCTTAGCTGAGCATTTTTGCATGCTAACATTAAGTTAAGCACTAAACACAAAGTACAGCTAAAGCTAATGGGAATGTCATTAGTTTTAGTTTAAGTATTTGGTCATAAACAAAACTATTGGAGTCAGGGGACCACCAAAGTTATTGTTCTTGAGAGGGACATGAATATACAGGATGTATCAAATTTAATGGTAATCCATCCAGTACCTGTCAAGCCACTTCACTCAAAACCACACGTCAACCTCATGGTAGCACTAAAGTAATTAGCATTCCTCCTCTGAGGTCCATGGAAACACAATTTTATGGCAATCTATGCAGCAGCTGATATATTTAAGTCTGGACAACTACACTAAAAAACTTGATGCAAGCATGATCACTAATCAACCAAGTAACGTATCTACATCTACATATAATAAGCATGATACGGTATTGATTTATATGTGAAGCAATGTTGACGTTTGAAGGGATGATGTATTGCCATAATCAGTCACTAAAACCTTTTGTCATCCATCAATTCTCCTATAGACCATTTAAAACCGAGTCACCCTCAAAACTATAAACGTACAAACGACCACCAATCTACACATTTGCAAAACATTCCTTTATTATAAATAAATCTCCTTTTTGTATAAAAACTGGCATGCTTCAACCATGGCATTTTACAGGTTCACAACCCAAGGCTACAACCCAGTTAGCCAAGACAGCAGGAGGAAACACACTCATCTCATTAAGCAAGGGCGATCCATCAGACAACGGTGAGACAAGAATGAAAAAATCGTCACAACCACAAAAATACTTACAAGTAGAGAATAACAACAAACATGTTTGAGTCTCATAGATTTTCTCTTACATTTCTCTTTTTAAATATCTTTTAAAATGTATTCTGTTAAATCTCTTCCCGGCCCCACCTTTTGCCCTTTTAGATATAATGTCTACATGGTTTCTGAGAGCTTTTTTCTTTTTCTTTTCATGATTCTTTTTTGTTTGTTTTTTTTTTGGTTTTTTTTTGTAGGTTTTAATAGTTACTCTGTCCACCACAGTGTCCTATGGTACGTCACTTTTTTCATGTTGTGTCTTTTTTTTAAAACAGGTAAGTTCATGGTAGGACCAATGAGCTGTGAGCAGCGGGAAAGCAGGCACACTGACTGGCTGTTTATGTGGTCCCACCTCTCTGTGGTTTGATGTGGAACAATACAAAATGTCTCATGCTTGGATTCCATTGGGCGATCTGTCCTTCCGCCAGTTCTTCAGCCAATCGGCTAAGAACGACGGCTCCTTCTTTCACTTGGCACTGCCCCGAGACACGCCCCCCTCTCCTGTCCAATCCCTTCCTTAATCTTCTGTGGTCCCTTCAAATGGCATGATTGCTGTAGCTGACATATGTCGTCTTAGTTGATGAAGCTGCGTGAATACGAAAAGGGTAGAAGGTGGAAGGAAGATGGTGTGAGGTGCAAGGGATAGGAAAATTAAACAAAAATGAGAAAAAAAGAGCAGAAAGGGGAAAGAGAGAATGAAAGAGAAGAGACAGATTGGTGGAATGGAATGGGAAGAGGAAAGGAAACAGGAGAGAAGAAAGAGCAGTTGAGAGCAGATTTTGCTACAGATGGTCACGTAACAGTGTCACATCTACAGTCCACCTGAGTTGTTGGGGCTTTTTGTCAAACCCATTATGTCTTGTGTCCCCTCAAGCGTTCCATGGTAAATGTCAATGTTTTTGCAGCAACCACGGGCCTCTAACTGCGCCATTGTTATACTCTGATGCTTTCATACAACCCTTTTATTATTTTTTTCTTTCGGTTGTTCACTTGTGTTTCACCATCATACTGTTCGGATAATGGGAAAAGGTCCATGATGTGTATATATATATAATCTTAATATATATATACACACACACATACATAGGGTTGAGTGCATGCAGACCTGAAAAACATCCAGATCTTTTTATTGATGTTTTCCGAAGAGCGCTCTTAAACAAAATGTCATGTAGCAAAAAAGTAAAGACTCTTAAATTTGCTTTCTGCTCATCACTTTTAAATTATTTGTTGCTTGAACCATATGGAACTTATTAATTTGCAACCTTTTTGCAAAGTGAAGCATGTGAGGAGATGACTAAGCAGTTTAACTATTGGCTAAATGAATGAACTGTGACCTGCTTCCTTCACTGATGCTAATAAAGTGCTGACAGAAAAAACATGGTTTGCCTTCTCAGGTCTGAAACCTATTATACGCCCAGATACAGTATTCACAGGCTGCACAGGAACACATGCACAGCAAGGCTGAGACATACATGTGTTTATGAGATTACAGATGACACGTGTACAAACACCACTCACACACGCAACTATTGAGAGAAACACACACACGCGAATCCACTTACATTGATGGAGACTCAGACAAAAAAAACATGCATGCACACATACACACTCACAGCTAACCATGCACATTCACACACACACACACAGTCCTGTCATTTCATCTGCAGATTGCTGAAACAAGAGAACCAGCACAACACAAAATAGAGATTTGAAGTGGATGTCACAGTGCTTCACTGTCAAAGCTCGGAGAAAACGCACCATGCTATTTAAAAACTGTCAATGTTGCAGCTGTTTTGCCATGCAAAAAAAGAGTCAGGCGTGAAATTAATTTTCAAATTGAAATTAAACTTTTGCTTAATTAAAGCAAAAAGCAGCATGTGAACTGTATATCTAAATGTACAGAAGGGAAAATATTTGTTTTGTTTGTACCAAGTGTGGTGGGGGCACCAAAACAATCATATTATCATCAAACATAATAATCATAATGTACTATAGACGGCGCAGCTTTTTGGTTTTTTTTTTTCACAAAGCCTTGGCCAAATTAAAAGAAATAAAGGAATGCTGAGAGGACCACATTTCACTGTCATTTATGGTTGCACTAGCTTCTGTGTCTCTCTCTTCTGCAGGACAGAGGGCAGGGCTCAGCTCCATACACATATACAGACACGCAGACAGCAAGAGAGCAGATGGCTCAGCAGAGAGGCCGCGGTGCAAGTTTAATCAAGTAGAAGATGACTTAAGTACAAAGTAGAAAATGTAGAATAGCGTTATTCCACCTGCTTTTTCTGCAGTTGTTGTTACAACCACGACATGCTAGTTATTCGAAAAGTGATTTAGGAACAAGCTTGTTTGGTTTGAAACCAATCTGACAGGACAGGAGGAAGGACTGATGCTGACTGATGTCTGTGTTGACATCACTAATATTATTTATTTTACTGACATTTTAGAATTATTTTAAGTGAGATATTATTGAGTTTATATAGTGAGAAAAGTATCTGAAAATGCATAGTTTTTAGTCAAATAACATCAAAATGTCATGCCACACGACCTCGGCACCACAACCACAGCACCAGATATATATCTGCCAGATATATATATATGAAATATATTTATATATATGTATATATGTGTATATATACA